ACCATTAGGCCACAACTCCCCCACACTCCCACACTCTTGCCTCAAGGTTGTGGGGTTCAATGGGCCATCATCATGGTCTTCCTCGTCCTCTGGTTCAACGATGTCCCCATTGATAAAAGCGAGATTGTGAAGCACAGCGCAGCACGCAACAACCTCGATCACAAAAGGCAGGGCTCACCTCTAAGGCCTTAGAAAACAGCGCCAGCATGTTTTCAGCATGCCAAAGGCTCATTCTACTATGCTTAGTGCACAGGAGTGCTTGTTTTTGAAACGAGCCTGCACAGGGTTCTGTACAGGCTCTCTGTATGGGCTGATGAGGCAGATGGGTGTTCTCAGGCTAGGATAGCCTCAAGTCAAATTTCAATCTGACTGCAGCAATGAGAAACGTGATGGACGGCAAAGTGGACAGGTGAAGGTGGTCAGCTGCTTCATCAAAATAAAGCTACAGAATTGGCAGAGCTGCGTTGAGATGGCAGTAGGTTGTAAATACATTATTGTTAGAACAATAAGTTTGAATAAAGCTTTGTTTCATGTGTTGTTGATTTGTATATGAAAGTGAACGTGAAAAACGTGTAGCCAAGTTGTCCCATTCTTGAGACTCTCATTCCAAAAATGGAATTTGTGCACTGCATTTAACCCATCCAAGTGCACACACACACATGTATTCACATTGGCTGCATTTGTCTAGCTAGTGTATATTCAATTATTCATGCATAACTATGTCATATGACAAAAAAAAAATTTTTTTGCTTGTTTTACTAAAACGTTATTTTCATTAAAAAAGTTCAATAATTAAGTATTGGTCAGCATTTATCATTATTATTGTGAGTATAAGTGTGTATAAGGTTCAGCTCGCGCGTGTTTAGTTCTGCGCGCGCATATTAGCTACTCACACATGTGGGATTGATTAGTTGTAATTCTATAGGACTCGCGGTTTTGTTATTTGTCCTATCAGCCTGTTGATGTGTGTACACTACAATATTTTTTGTGCTCGAGTTTGGAATTGACCATTTCTTCAGGTTTACATTTTAAATGCCAGCTTTGTCACTGTGCTGTGTTCATGCGCTTGTGCTGTTTTGTCCAACTTTTAACGCCATAAGCAAGCTAGTCTTACCTAAAATAGCGTCATGACTTGTGCAAAATGCCCCCAAAATGTAAGATATTAATTTAACCATACTTGTTTTGTTTGTGTGTTTATAACCATACCTATAATAATTAAGCAATATCACACGAGCAAGACTGGTATTTTCCTGAATTTCAGCATGATTGAAAAATGTATATATTTATTTTATACAACAGTTCAATAAACAAGTTTATATAATTGACCATTTGTATACATAACATTGTGTAAATTTTAGACTATTTTTGAACATAGCTCCAAACAAAGCGTCTATCAGCAACACAGAGTGGTGTTTGGTTCAGCGTTTTGGAACGAATCAGTGAGTGAGCGAGTGAGTGAGAATCAATTGAGTGAGTCAATGATTCAATGACCCATTCATCAAGGCAGTCACTTGCTTCATTTATGAATGATTCAGTCGGTTTGAAAGAATCTGTTAAATGAATGATTCTATAAATCACTTATTGAGACTTGCCACCACCAACTGGTGGTCGGTGGGTGCTTGAGCGCCTGCCCCTTTTCCACTTGATGCCCAAAGTGCCAATTTTTTTTTTGTAATTAAATGCCTTTTTGTGAAGGCCTGCCCAATGTAACTATTAGCAAAATTAATGAATAATAATTTAGCCGTAAATAAAATGATCCACATAATGATCTTTCTCCTGATGATCTCATCCAGGATGATCCCTCACCTTCAGATGCCTTCATTGTCTGCAGCTGCTGCCGGTAAGTGGAGTTCTCAGCGGAGCAGTGTGCTTTTTTACTTATATTATTAAATTATTATTATTTTACAAGAAGGACGTGAAGAGAGCATGCACAGCTGTTGTTTTTATTGCTGTCTGTGGAAGTTTCTACTTTTTATTCAGCTCAGCTAGCAAAACCCGATGATTTTGTCCATATTAGGGATTTCCTGCCCGTGGTAAATTAGAGTCTGTTTTGGACTTTCTGTGCAAGAGCACCCTCCGGCTTTCAGTATGAATGAAACATACACTGCATGAGAGTGTTCAGCACTCCTGATGTTCACATCTTGTCATTTTGAACAGAATAAAACGTCAGGTCATGCATAGACTATGGATACTGTCTCTTTGAATTTAAATCTAGATTTAAATCTAGAAACCTCTAGGTGAACACACATGCCCCAATAAAGTGAGGGAGGAATTTACATTTTATTAGAATTAAATATTTATTAAATATTAAAATGCAGCTAGCAATATAAACAAAGGTGCCTGTTCTCTTTCGTTCTTGCTGTTTGATTGGGAAAAGTTTAAAGGGCGTCGAGGGGTCTTGTCTTTTTTATGTTATCTGACTAAAAACTATTCATACTTTGAACTATTATTATTACAGTATTTATTTTAAAAACTAGAGTGCCTTAAAAATAATTATCACAACTCTGGCAAAACAGGCTTATACTGATTTTATCACCCTCCGAATTATACTTATCAGTCCTGCTTTTATTATTGTTATCATTGAAAAAATGAATAAATTCAGAACAGGATTAGAATAGAATTCTATTTTAAATAAGACAGAAATATTTTTCTACAACAGCAACAGTAGTGTTTACAACAGCAAAACACCATACCCTGTAAACTCAATAATAATAATAATAATAATAATAATATCAATAATATAATTCAGTTATAATTACAGAGTAATTAAGAGGTGCCGAGAAAAATGATTTAACTTTTAAACTTAAAATGGTCTTTTCTGTTCTGTGTTTCTTTTTCAAAACTGCGTCACGGCATTTGCTGCTGTATCAATACAGAAGCATCCATTTCGATACACATATCAGCAAGGAGCACAGTCCTATTAAAAGCCGTGTTCCATGTGCCCCTTTTATACTTTGAGCACCTGCCCCTCGAAGGTCTCTGCATGGCCCTGATTTCAAGCTCTGATTGATTTTAATTTTGTCCACCCCTGAAATAATTCGCACGCTGGTCCATTCCGCACTGGCAACACTGTGAACCTTATTTGCCAGTCATAGGTGTCAGTCAATTACAAACACCAAATACACATCTGAACAAGCTTATTAAGGTTTTCAAGAAAAATACAGGCAGGTGTGTTAAAACAGGGATGGAACTAAATCTGCATGATGATGGTCCAGACTGGTAGAGTTAGACCCTTTCTTTTTCGCAGCCACATATCCGCGGCAAGTTATGATGGCCTAGCTACCAGTGGATGAATAAAATGTGCAGGGTCTCATTTGTTTTTCATTTGAACACAAACATGGGGATACTATAATAGTCCTAACTTAAGTGTATTAATACTTATAGCCTACATTATTAAAAGCAAGGCCTAAGTCCCATTCTAACCCACTTGGATGCGTTTAGAAATTCGATTTGAAGTCAATTTTAAGTCACTAATCTGTTTTATTTAACAAACCACATGCATGCCAGGTAATGGTACTTTTACATGTATCCTATAATAACATTATAGAGCTGTTATATTATCTGTAGCCTTGCACTGATTTTAATTAGTCAATTAAACGTACTCAAGTTGATACCCAGCCATACCCAGCGAGTGTGTTTAACTGGTTTTCTTGAATGTTTGATTCGCACGTTTGTCCAGTAGGTGGCCTAAGTGACTGACTGAAAGTGTAACGTGACCGGGTGTAGAAGTTCGCCCTTGTTAAATAAGAAATGTATGTAGGCGTATGTGTTGATACAAATTACAAAATTAAATGGATACGAAAGATACCTAAAGAATACTAATGATTGATGTGTAGCAGTTGTAACTGCGACGACTACCTGTTTTTATTCCTTTTTTTAACTTTAACTTTTTAAATAGTGTAACTGACACTGTTTTAAAATTGAAAGGCAACGAGACACAGAGACAGTGTTACACGATCATTTAAAGCCCAACCTCCAAGAAAAGTCCTATAGGTAGGCTACGAGTGTTTTACTGTAGTGTACATTATCAGAATGGTTCGTCAACACTTTCCTTGTAGTTTAACTTCCAAAGACATGCGCTCCAGCGAGGCCCATTAGATTTTTACATTAAGTCCTCAAAAGTCTGGGTATCAGTGGTGAAAAATTAAGGGAGCCGGGATTCCATTACATTCCGAGCTGTCCCAACTCTGTGATCTAGCAAAAATGGAAATACAGTTCAGTGTTAAAACATCATTTGACTTTCAAATGATTAATTATTGATGTGTTCGCAGAGGGCTTGCGCAGCGTCATCTCCCGGTGATGGGCATAAAGTGGAAAGAGGCACGACCCAAAGCTGAACATCTTAACTGAAACAAAAAATAAAGTGTTCTTAGAAATGTCTTTTTAGAGCTACCCCGGTTTGAGCTCCAAAATAATTTAAAATAACTGGTTTGAAATTCAAATATATTTCGTAGATTTTTCCGTTTATCTATAAGGCCTAGTCTTAATTTTATGTTCGTGTGAACTGGACAAATGCAATGTACGGTTTTGAATAAATATGTGTCTTCCATCACAGATTTAAGCCCCAATAGTGTAAAGGGGCGCTTCCAACCTTTCTCCACAAGATGGAGTAACTTGCCTACGAGATCAACGAGCACATACGAGAGGCGCTTTCGTCCACTTGAACAAGGTTGAGATTGGATCTGGTTTGTGACTGCATTCATACATATTATGTGTAATCCATTCTATTGTTTAAAGCAGAGGTGAACATCTTTTGCTTTCATGATTCAGTAGGCTATGCAGCACTTTAAACTCGTTTTGAAAGTATGCAGTTATATAAAGTTATTGTGTTTACCAAACTTTATATGAACAAATATTTTATATTTTGTTCCTCCAATAATTTGTAAAATAAAATTAAAATAAATATGCTAAAAAGTTCAACTGTATTCTGATATACTGATAGGTCTACTTATAAAGATCTGTAAAATAAGTCCTTGCACTCTCTGGAGGCCTACAGTATGTCTTCATGTATTAATTTAATAGACTTTTTAGCATGGCACGTGTCTGTAAATTAGTTATGGATATTACATTTTAGTTCTGTGGCTTTTATAGTAAAAAGAAAGATATGAATATATTTGCTTTTTTAAAATCCTCTGGAGAATGACTGGTAAAAAAACACCAGCTGTAGTTAATCTAAATGATGTGCAACCAAGACACCAGCAACTAACACGACATCTGTTTAAATGCTTTCATGCTAATACACTCCTCTCAAATGGCGTCTTTGTTAGTGCGTCAAAGATTATTTACGGAATGAGTCAATTGCTAAATGGTTTCATGATTGTTGAGCGGAATCGCCGTAGGAGGCGGTTAGGACTATTGGAGGCTGTGAGGTCGAGCTCTGGCGCGCAGCGGGTTTTAAATAAGACAGAAATATTTTTCTACAACAGCAACAGTAGTGTTTACAACAGCAAAACACCATACCCTGTAAACTCAATAATAATAATAATAATAATAATAATAATAATAATAATAATAATAATAATAATAATAATAATAATAATAATAATAATAATAATAATAATAATAATAATAATAATAATAATAATAATAATAATAATAATAATAATATCAATAATATAATTCAGTTATAATTACAGAGTAATTAAGAGGTGCCGAGAAAAATGATTTAACTTTTAAACTTAAAATGGTCTTTTCTGTTCTGTGTTTCTTTTTCAAAACTGCGTCACGGCATTTGCTGCTGTATCAATACAGAAGCATCCATTTCGATACACATATCAGCAAGGAGCACAGTCCTATTAAAAGCCGTGTTCCATGTGCCCCTTTTATACTTTGAGCACCTGCCCCTCGAAGGTCTCTGCATGGCCCTGATTTCAAGCTCTGATTGATTTTAATTTTGTCCACCCCTGAAATAATTCGCACGCTGGTCCATTCCGCACTGGCAACACTGTGAACCTTATTTGCCAGTCATAGGTGTCAGTCAATTACAAACACCAAATACACATCTGAACAAGCTTATTAAGGTTTTCAAGAAAAATACAGGCAGGTGTGTTAAAACAGGGATGGAACTAAATCTGCATGATGATGGTCCAGACTGGTAGAGTTAGACCCTTTCTTTTTCGCAGCCACATATCCGCGGCAAGTTATGATGGCCTAGCTACCAGTGGATGAATAAAATGTGCAGGGTCTCATTTGTTTTTCATTTGAACACAAACATGGGGATACTATAATAGTCCTAACTTAAGTGTATTAATACTTATAGCCTACATTATTAAAAGCAAGGCCTAAGTCCCATTCTAACCCACTTGGATGCGTTTAGAAATTCGATTTGAAGTCAATTTTAAGTCACTAATCTGTTTTATTTAACAAACCACATGCATGCCAGGTAATGGTACTTTTACATGTATCCTATAATAACATTATAGAGCTGTTATATTATCTGTAGCCTTGCACTGATTTTAATTAGTCAATTAAACGTACTCAAGTTGATACCCAGCCATACCCAGCGAGTGTGTTTAACTGGTTTTCTTGAATGTTTGATTCGCACGTTTGTCCAGTAGGTGGCCTAAGTGACTGACTGAAAGTGTAACGTGACCGGGTGTAGAAGTTCGCCCTTGTTAAATAAGAAATGTATGTAGGCGTATGTGTTGATACAAATTACAAAATTAAATGGATACGAAAGATACCTAAAGAATACTAATGATTGATGTGTAGCAGTTGTAACTGCGACGACTACCTGTTTTTATTCCTTTTTTTAACTTTAACTTTTTAAATAGTGTAACTGACACTGTTTTAAAATTGAAAGGCAACGAGACACAGAGACAGTGTTACACGATCATTTAAAGCCCAACCTCCAAGAAAAGTCCTATAGGTAGGCTACGAGTGTTTTACTGTAGTGTACATTATCAGAATGGTTCGTCAACACTTTCCTTGTAGTTTAACTTCCAAAGACATGCGCTCCAGCGAGGCCCATTAGATTTTTACATTAAGTCCTCAAAAGTCTGGGTATCAGTGGTGAAAAATTAAGGGAGCCGGGATTCCATTACATTCCGAGCTGTCCCAACTCTGTGATCTAGCAAAAATGGAAATACAGTTCAGTGTTAAAACATCATTTGACTTTCAAATGATTAATTATTGATGTGTTCGCAGAGGGCTTGCGCAGCGTCATCTCCCGGTGATGGGCATAAAGTGGAAAGAGGCACGACCCAAAGCTGAACATCTTAACTGAAACAAAAAATAAAGTGTTCTTAGAAATGTCTTTTTAGAGCTACCCCGGTTTGAGCTCCAAAATAATTTAAAATAACTGGTTTGAAATTCAAATATATTTCGTAGATTTTTCCGTTTATCTATAAGGCCTAGTCTTAATTTTATGTTCGTGTGAACTGGACAAATGCAATGTACGGTTTTGAATAAATATGTGTCTTCCATCACAGATTTAAGCCCCAATAGTGTAAAGGGGCGCTTCCAACCTTTCTCCACAAGATGGAGTAACTTGCCTACGAGCACATACGGCACATACGAGAGGCGCTTTCGTCCACTTGAACAAGGTTGGGATTGGATCTGGTTTGTGATACATATTATACATATTATGTGTAATCCATTCTATTGTTTAAAGCAGAGGTGAACATCTTTTGCTTTCATGATTCAGTAGGCTATGCAGCACTTTAAACTCGTTTTGAAAGTATGCAGTTATATAAAGTTATTGTGTTTACCAAACTTTATATGAACAAATATTTTATATTTTGTTCCTCCAATAATTTGTAAAATAAAATTAAAATAAATATGCTAAAAAGTTCAACTGTATTCTGATATACTGATAGGTCTACTTATAAAGATCTGTAAAATAAGTCCTTGCACTCTCTGGAGGCCTACAGTATGTCTTCATGTATTAATTTAATAGACTTTTTAGCATGGCACGTGTCTGTAAATTAGTTATGGATATTACATTTTAGTTCTGTGGCTTTTATAGTAAAAAGAAAGATATGAATATATTTGCTTTTTTAAAATCCTCTGGAGAATGACTGGTAAAAAAACACCAGCTGTAGTTAATCTAAATGATGTGCAACCAAGACACCAGCAACTAACACGACATCTGTTTAAATGCTTTCATGCTAATACACTCCTCTCGAATGGCGTCTTTGTTAGTGCGTCAAAGATTATTTACAGAATGAGTCAATTGCTAAATGGTTTCATGATTGTTGAGCGGAATCGCCGTAGGAGGCGGTTAGGACTATTGGAGGCTGTGAGGTCGAGCTCTGGCGCGCAGCGGGGCTCCAGTAGGAGCGGCGCTAATTGAGGAGGCAGAGTCGAGGCGGGCCAGTAGAACACGGGAGAGCGAAGAGCTGGGGCAGGGCACGGTTCTTGGAGCTTAGCGTATTGTTCAGATGTATAAAATATGAGACTAACATTTCTCTCTTCCTATCCCCTCTTTTGGCCTCGACTTGTCAACATAGACTCACAACACAAACTCTTCTTTTATTGTTTTTGTTGTGGATATCTGTTTTGTATTTGTCATAGGCCTATCTTATCGACTTATTGTCTTTATGTGCACATATATCATAGCCGTTTTGTATAAATTGTCTTTCTTCATCGAATCACACAGGGCTATGCTGGTGCCCGTTAGAGCTGAAAATTTGTTAGATTCTATGGTAAAGGCCGCATTAGTTATTATTATGGGCTAATTAATACACTTCAATACGCCAAGTGTGGTAACAAATCTTTTTGGTAACAAATTGCATTACAAATTAATAATGTAATATGTATTTTAGCCTACTGCATTACTACTAAAGTGTATAGGCTATTTAAAAACAGTTATTTAGAGTTTACATTTTATTTATTTATTTATTTTGTCATATGACGTACTGATATCAGTTGCGTTTCTCGTTTTAATTTGAGTTGGAAAGTGAATGCAGGTGCTCGCAGGATGTTGTCTCCAGTAGGCCTATAAGAGACGCATGTATGCTCGCTCATCACCCACCCACCTGTGAGAATGTTTCGGGAGAGACTTTGGTTTTCAGACTTCTGTAGCTTTACAAGGTGTTGTGGTGAAACAAAATCAGAATATTTCTAGTTTTCCACAGTTCATAGGATCTCATCCGAATTAACCTTCAGATGGGCTCTTGCACTCTGATCTTACTGCTGATCCTGTATCATAGCGTCTTGTGACCTCTAAATTACTCTGTAATAGAATTACAGTTTTTAATCCTGCTTGCCAGAACACCTCATCACAGGCTGCTGGGTCGAGAACAACACTCGCGGTACACCTTTCAAAATGAATGCAGTCACATATTTTTATGAAATTTGTAATTGAATTGTTAATCGACTTTATCAAATAAACGTCTTTGGTGATTCGTGTACTATGTCTATCAAAAAACACTCTCCAAAGGCAAGTAGTTTTCAGATCAAGGTATTGCTCTTATTACAGTTTAGAACCATGTCGAATAAAAGGAAAGACGAGTAGCCAAAACAGTAGCCTATAGAATTGACAAGGTCTCAACAATACGCCAGGTAAAATATAATAGGTCTAATGAAGTGATGTAACATTTCAGATGTGAGAAGTTCTAATAATGAATCTTTTAAAATATAGCCTAACATTATTTCAGAAGCAGCTAAAGATCTACAGTGAGGATGGAAATTACCGAAAGTACTGTTTTTTTGTGTGTGGCATTTTACGTTATTTGAAACTACTATGTATTTTATTTATTTATTTATTTAAAAAAAATTTTTTTTTACCCCATTATGGGATAACATGAGCAATAAAAATACTTTATAACATAAATTTAACATCATTAAATGTGTATAATAAAAAATTAATTAATGATCTGAATAATTAATTTACATTTTAAATATTTGTTTGGTTGATGTTTGTTTATTTACTTATTTATTTATTTTTAGACATTTAGCGGATCCGACTGTTGTCGTCCATAGCCTATCTTCTGCTAAAGCACAGCTTGCCACAGTCGCAATAGCCTATTAATTCACGGTTTGGAATCCAGCTTCACGTACCTTGTTCTGTTCTTATTTGTGAGAAGGGGGCTGTTTCGGGAGGGAAAAGACCCAGTCTTGCCAAGAGTGGTTGCACTGACAGGCTATGCCGGGTCAGAGGGAACTGACGCTCATTGAGAACTGCATGAATACACACGAATAGAAAAGTTGTGTTCAGTTAACCGATGAAATCAGAGAAAAAACAGGGCTGTACAATCTTTTCTTATTGCCGTCTGCGGTCCAATTGCATTCATTTGTCTCTGTGCGACTAAGGTTATGGGAACAGTACAAATAATCTATTCTGCCTTTTTGACACCCTCGCCAGTTATAATAGTAGGCTACACATAGGCTTAGAGACTGGATGTGTATGAAAATGTTATGTTGACGTTGTCACGTAGGCTATATTTTGTAGCCTACTTCGTGTAGGCTATTCACATTGCAAGAACACCTGAGGGGGGAAAATCAACTGTGTAACTGAATTATTAGACACTAAATAAGCCATATGAATCTTTATATATACAGCAAGAGAGGGCAGTCTCTTTGCAATTCTGCGAAAAGTAGCCTATATCGTCTGTAGTCGCGACACATTTTCAAGATGTTTCTGTTAAATTATCGTTTTTTTTAATGCAATGTTTATGTGATATCTAAAAAGCCAATATGCAATAGGCGATTCTGGTAAATTAATTTCTTCCAACACACCCAAATTATTAAAGGGCTGATTGCCACCTGTTTATTTTATTCACAAATAGCTATATTGATATTACTGTTTAAAAGAAAACTGCTCTTCTCATAACTACTTTATCTGTCCTAAACATATTTGAGACAAATATCTGCCGATAAATTAATGTAGCCTGAGAGGATAGATTGATAAAGATCAGTGTGAAGTGATTGGAGAACTCCATCAGCCAGTGATAGTCCATATCTGTCCACCGCAGATGAACTTGAGAGGTAAAAAGTAGTCCCTCGCGATCAACTACCAATGAATACAAATCAAATGGTTCTTTATTTTAGCGCATTTAATTAAGTGTCATTAGGATCAATGGGTATTCCCTTATGATCGCGGAGATTCAGACTTGAGAGGACGTACAAGACATACACAATGCACCCTATAGCCTAGAATTATGAACGTGAGAGAAATAATAAATAATAAACGCAGCCTTATTTAGCATTGCCGGTTGTGAGAGCTAAACGTTTCGTCTAGTCTTTAAGTTATCTGTCGTAAAACTGATACACATGAATGGAGAGAGATCACAATGGGCAAACTAAATAGCTATATAAACAATTTATGGTTGCTCTTATAAAACAAGGGAGTTTTTAATTAAAAAAAGATTTAGTCATCTATCTTGTTACAAATATCTAAACTCCTCTTTAATAATAATCTTCGTTACATCGACAAATTAAACAAGTTGATTAAGCTATTTGTCACATCTTCAAGCCTTTCCTCTATTTTTGGCAACTAAATTAGAAGTGAGCAAAATCGGAGACGCACGAACGAGTCAGCTTCATATTATGTAGACTTCCAACATTATATTGTTGAGTAAATAGGTATTCTCCATTCATAGGATAACCTTTACCCATAATATATTTTACGTCAGTAAACTGTTTGTGTTTGTTAAAGTGCGCTGAAAAAAAACCAAACAAACAAAACTTCTATATCAAGTACGGGTTTCTGTTTGTGCATGCGAGTTAGGGTTACTCGCCCAGAGGGAGCTTTCTTCTAGCATAGCTACATTTTGGGAAAAAAAACGCCGTTTCGTTGACTACAACGGGACACTGGGCCAGGGGAGGAGTCCTCCATGATTAGTCAATTTAATGGTGCCTTCACTTAAGTTTTGCATTGTGTACCTTAGCCACTGACTATTAACAAAAAAGAATACGAATGTTCACCGTCGCAGCGAATTTTGTTTAAAAACGTTTCTGTACTACAAATTGTTTGATAAAGAATTTTGGTGCATATGTTACACTAGTGATCCACTTATTTAATGCTCTCCAAACTGGGGAGAAAACGTTTTAAATGTTGTTGTGTGGAAATTAGATTTTTTTTTTTTTGTGGAAATGACACACATAATACAGTTTTATAACAAAATTGAATACTGTATTTTCAGTTTAGAAACGTATACATTAACAGAAACACGCAAGAAAGTAACATTGAATTATAAGCGCTGGACTGGAAACATGAAATAGACTTGGTCAGTCGATGATGATATCCAATATTTTGTCTTTTGCATTAATCTCGACTGATAATTCATGGTCACTAGCGTTCTTTTCATGGCATAAAACAGAGAAACAAAACGCCTAGAGCACTTAATAGTTACGTTTTGACGAATAGTTTATGTAGGGACACCATGGCAAGAAAAGTGAACAGGGATATAAAAGAGAATGGGTATAGCAATATTATTTACACTTATTTCTACACATATATTACAGACTGGGAGAATGATCGCATTATTTAAGATATACATAATTCAATATAAAATCTGGAAATAAAAATAAAAATCTGACACAGTCATAACGATTCAGTTCCACATTTGACCAGTACCCCACACAGGCAGTGACAGAAGTGTAGTAAAAAGGTGCTTACGACTCAAATGATTGTCTGATGAACATAAAGGAAAAGAAGATTGCATCCTGGCTGCTCGTCGTCACTCGGACTAAAACAGAAAAAAGTTGATGGACACCGGTTTCTGGTAATTCCCTCTTCACGGTGGTCCTGGTAGACATAATAAACGTGGGGCATTTCTCCATATATAAAAAGAAAAAAAAAATATATATATATTTAGATATATATATGTATATATATCATGCAAGTGATGGGGTGGGGGAAGGTGTGGGGTCCAATGAAAGCGCTTGAAAAAAAGGCGTGCTTTTGTTTTTCTTTTTATAATAGTAATATCAATTGGTCCTTTTTCATCTTCCCCGATAATTAATAAAGTTTATTCAGGTCCTTTTTCCTGTATATATTTCTCTTTTGCGTATCATACGTCGCATTCCGAGTCACTTGACGTTACTGAAAGAATTGACGTGCCCGTGTCGACTCGCTCTGTCATACTCGAGACACTGGTCGTTGGACTAGCCGCAGTTGATGGCGACTCCGCCGAACTGCGTGGGGTGCAGCCGGATTCTGAAAGGGACCGCATGCCATTCTGCCCTATTGCTTGATGCTGGAGCCTATAGCAGAAAAGTGAGAGAGCGGTATGCTGTTAAGAGTATAAAAGTCGTAGGCCATGTTCACTGAAAAACGCGCCTCCATTTTCACGTAATTATTATGCTATTTTAAACATAGTTCTTTAAAACGATATAGGTAAAAATATATAATATACATACAATAGATAAAAATAACATTTGGTTACATAGTAAAATAAATGCTACAGCTGTTTATTTATTTATTTTACATACGATTACATAAAGCTTTGCG